GTTGAAGTTATTTTGCACATTTTGGTATAATTTGTAATATCCAAACTAGAGAAGTAATCAAGTTAAGAATGTTGAAAATATTTATACTTTTGATGTAACACTGAATTATACGCATTCTGTTTTGATTTTTTTATAACTTCGTATATTTAAATGTTATAATATTAATAATGATGTCAATCGTAAGACCTACAAGCAAAGTTTAGAATGAAACCAGCAAATTTAAATTTTTCTCAGAAGGATTCTTATATAACACGAGAATCGTTAGTTACGGTAACACGCCACCTTATTTTTTTAATTTGACTGCTCGCTGCCGCCACTTGTTTGTCCTCAGTTAGAACAAGGCAGGCAGGAGTTGATTGTTGAGTAAAATTAATTATTACTTTGCCCTAACTTGACTAACTTCATCAAATTATTGCTGTAACGGGAAATTGTTTGAATCAATTTGAGAAGAGAATGCTTTTGAAGAATTAACACGCAACACCATATATGTGTGTGAATTAATTAAAACTATCGGTGTGTCTAAATATAATTAATTAATGTAGCAAATGAAACGTTTGAATGACAGTATATTCTTGTTGTTAATTTTGTTCTAGGCCATAGTTATGTAGGTTTCCAATCTCTTTTAATGTCTTTTTATACAACTTAGAATGGCAAAGAAGCTGACGGCCATCACATGGAAAGTGGTAACCGTCGCTTATAGACATGAATGTCTCCTTATATTTATAATTTAATTATTCAATTAGAAAATTAAGGTAACAGTTAAAATATGGTATTTAATAATTATTTCTAAATATATTTATATATTTGCATTTAAACGTAATATGTTGCTAACATAGTTGTTTCTATGTCACATATTACATGTTATTGTTAAAATTTAATTATATGAAATCTGATAATACTTATTTCCAATGTATAATTAAAAACTGTGTCCCACAAAAAAGAAAATTGATTTTAATAAATTTTCTATGGGATCCATCTATAAGTATATCCTTTCAGATAAAAAAAGAGTTTTACAAATCAGTTTTCAACTGACGGTAGTATAAGGTAACAAACATAAAAAATATATACAATCGAAATGAGAACTTCCTTCTTTTTGAAGTCGGTTAAAAATCAACTGTCATTGTAACAATGTTTTAACTATATAAACATATATAGTAGAGTACATTAATAAATCACACAAGGCATCGAGATAAGCAAGTTGATTAGTTCAGTATTTGTATCGCGGATAAATTGGTTTGGCTTGCCGCCCATTTTGGTCGACTTAGTAGGCGCAGGAACGTACCTCAAATTGATGTGTGGTGAAACTTTTTCGAAGGGTCTATTTATATTATATAAATAGTAACATTTACAATACGATGTGATTTGTTTACGAAAAACTTTTTGTATTTAGTTATATCACCAAAACTTTAATGGCGTAGGGTTTTTCCCCCGTTCATTATAAACATTCATGACTACGTTTGTATTAATATGGACGTGTTTATCAACTGTCCAGTACAAATCCACAATAAAATGCTTAGTTTTGGAACTAGAAGTTAGTGTTATGTAATAAGACCAATTTATTATTTAAGTCCAGGGTCATTTATTTCCTATAAGTTATAATACTCGTACACCAAACTAAAATGATAATCTGAAAGATGCATAGCTACTCTTTTGTATGAATGAAACCATAGATTCTAGAATGTTTTCATTCCCTACAGTTATAAATAAAAATATATTATCTAACAGTATTCGTTGGCAAAATAGCAGTAAGTGATGATAGGTGAGGATGAATGAAGTAAATACAGTTGGTCCGTTGAGACGATTTCACTAGAATATAACCAAGAACGGCAAAGGTACTAGATCCGTACATCGATCAATTAGGTGACATGCTGAAAAAGGAGTAAAAGTACCTACTCGTAACCAACGAGCTTGTATGAATAGATTGATGAATGTGTAGCGGGCGAAAGCGGTCTATTTGAATCGGAGTATTTGATGTTACACCTATTTTATTTGAAGAAAAGTGAGAAATGTATGTAAAAGTACAAAAAATTCAATATATGATCTTATTAAATAGTAGATTTGGCAAATATGAAAGTTTGTCAAGTTATTTTATTATTTGTTCTTCGGTGTATATTGAAATTCAATATATAAATAGAATATATACCATACCATATCAACCGTTATTTATTCACAGCTGAACATAATATTCCCTTTGTTATGGGATTTTGCCAGTAGTTACCATGCTTGGCAGGCGGGTTGACAACCGTTGTTAGGCTTTGGAGATGTTTTAAGAGGGATATTGCTGCCCATCCCGCGATCATTAAGTTCTCTTAGTCGCTTGTTACGACACCCACCAGAAAAGAAGTAGTGGCATATTCTATGCTGGAACCACGCGGTAGATTAGGGCAAATAGAATATACTCCAGAATAACATGCAGACAAAATTTTATATTATTCACAGTTTAATATTATAAAAGCAAAACTTTGAAGAGATATTTAATATTTATCACTTGATATCGCCTAAAAAACTTTGAATTAAATTGATACACAGTTGAGATCATGATATGATCATCTAGAACGTTATTATTGATTTTCTATACAATTTAAAATGACAGTATATGAAAGTGAAAATCGTTCTCTATGGACATGAGTTTTGAATATTACAGAATGCACTATGATGCTTTTGAATACTGTACATACGTTGCAATTGCTGACTATATATTTTATATATTTTTGTCATAATTATGCAAGCAATGCCACGGGTTGCAGCTAGTAGATAAAATAAACTGCTCCTGCTACAAAAGGATCACTGGTTTCAATAACTAACGAAGGAAATTATTTATTACACACTCAAGGAAACTTAGGGGAAACTTGAGGCGTGCGAACGCGCCTCGTGAGGAAGTGTTGTAATACGAATTACTCCAGGAAAAATGGTGCCATTATTTATCGCTTATGAAGCCTTGGTGAGGATTCAGGGATGCTCCAATTAATCTAGTGCTCTTCGACCGTACACAAAAGATGGTACTTCTAGCTAAGAAATGGATTGGAAAAAAACATTTTCATTTTCCTTGTTGCTAGTTGCAATTCTATATACAAAATGTATGATTATTTTTTTTTCGAAATTATTGAACTTTTCATTGAATTTCAATTTCATTTTACTTATGTTGCAGTTTGACAATAAAGTACGCCGACAAGAATAGAATTACTACTATTAATTTTTAGATTTTCGTGCCCAAAATTTTTAGGTATGTTTATTGACCGGGATAAAACGCAGCCTATATTCATCTACATCCTATATAGTAACTATATATTAAATGTTAAAGTGATTGCTTAAGCCGTTAAGGCGCCAAGAGGTAACAAAGAAAAACAAACCTACTTTCACATTTATAATATTAACACGATCATTTAAATAAAATTATTATATTTTATCTAAATGATCGCATTCTCGTATCTTATAAACCGTAATATTTCTACTACAAACAATATAATTTGTGGGTATTTTTCTCTAATAAATGGAGCTGATATTGTATACTGGTCTATAATAATTGTGTACAATGCCATATTATTATAAGTGGAAACTAGCGTTTCCGTTATTACTAATCTCTTCCAACAATTACCTGGTACTGTAATCCAACCAATCATTAAGAAATTTGCAATAATATGGTTATTTATAAAACTTAGAATGGCAAATAAGCTGACGACCCACTTGATGGAAAGTGGTAACCGTCGCCTATAGACATGAAGAGTATCATGGGCATAGCAGAGTGTACTGTTTCGCCCATGATACTCCCATGCGTTGCCATTTCTGAGGATTCAGGTGTTATTCTTTTGTACCCTGTAAATTCACTACCATATACCACCCTTCAAACCGAAACACAGCCATGCAAACACAACTGCTTCACGGTTGAAACACGAACGGGGTTAAACATAACTATTTACATTGATATTATGAATATATCTAAAAAAAATATACACTAATATATGCGTGTACGTACTTATTATTACTTGTTTATTAGATCTAAATATAGATAAAAACAAATCTCTGGTCGTTATAAAAATGTTCCTGAAAGTCAATTAATCCGTTTCGAAGGTGTATTTAGGAAAAATGGACTTTTTTTGGGTTGAAATTAATTATTTTTATCCAGTAACAATGTCGATTAAAAAATGTGTTAAAGTAATCTTTCTATTTCGCTTATTTAAGCAACTTTAATATTAAAACTTTATAAAGCAACCTTATATCAATTCGCATGTATTTTACGATTTATTATTCATGTTTAGTATTTATTTTTCTAAACTACTTAATGGAATGGGAGATTATTTTGTTTGCTAGCTGTATTAAATTAATTTTTGCAATAACTGTGGAACATTTATTATTTAACACATTTAATAATCAGCTTTAATGTAACCTCAATAAGATTCAAATTCCTGTTATAACTGAGTCGAGTATTTACAGCGAATACTAAATATAACATATGCCAGCTAAACAGTGTTTAATTTTAGTTAGCAGCTAATGTTAAACGGTTCTTGCTTTTCCACATTATTTTACCATTAAACCTTTGTAATTATTATTTTCTAATGGAACCTAACTGTTTAATTTATGACAGCTTTACTCGAAAGGTTTCGATCTAAATTAATTTGAAATAAACTTAATATTATAACAACTTAATAATATAAACTTAATTACATTTAATAATTAGATATTTATTATAAAGGTAGCTATTTCATATATAATAATCTTATTATTATAATAAATGTGAAAGATTGTAACGATGGATGTATGTTTCTTGGATTTAAATCAAATTTGGTACACGACTAAGATATACCCTAACTATGTGCTAAACATAAGATATATAGCTGCACGATATCACTGGTTTTGTATGTTTTTTTAAATCTTTTGAAGTCCGTTACTCAAGTACGCTTAAATGGTTATAACACACTTGATACACAGATTGACTATATCCTGAATTAATAACGTCGAATTAAAAACCATTACCTTAAGTTACATAAAACTAGTCGAAGGATTTTGTATTACTTGCTTAACCCTAGATCACTAAGCTTCGTCGAATCGACGACGCGAATTCGAAACAGGTGCCGTAAATTTTGAGTGCGCGATCGCATCCATTGTAACTCTCGTGTAATCTTAGTTGGCCCGGTGCCCCCGCGATAGACGGTAGTGTTTTTTGTGTAAGAGATTTGTGAACGCCGCACCAGCAACCATGACTCGTCGCATCGACGAAGGTTAGTAATAACGATATATTTTGTACTATTGTGTTTGTAATATTTTAAGTTTATTTTTTAGTTTTTACAACATAAAAGTAATGTGTAGTATTGTTCTATTTTAGATACGATTCTTCAACTATTATTAGAAGATAATAGTGACCAAGAAAATTCGTCAGAGAGTGAGAAGGAAGACCACATCGAGGTTGATCCGGGTTATGTATCAGTGAGTGAGGATGAAATTTCGTCTTTGGACTTGGCATCAATTGAAGAACAGATACCAAGTACTTCGGCACAAGAACCTAACGAATTGATTATTATACCATCGCGTAACATACTTCGCGGAAAAGATAAGCACAAATGGTCATTGTTAAAGCCAAAGTCACAAGGCCGAACAGTCGCAAAAAACATTGTGCATATTAGACCAAGCCCCACTCGTATGTGTAAAAATGAATTAGATCCTTGCTAAAAAATGAATTAGAACGTTGCTTTTCGTCTTTTATTACAGATGATATAGTAAATATAATTGTCACTTATACTTATATAAAAATTTTGCATCACAAGTTAGTCGAGCCACATATGCAAAAACGTATACTTGTGCCCACACTTCAAACTGGCCTGCGCGATTCGATTACACAAATTTTGAATATGCCAGGAAGTAGTAGATCGAGTTTGACACTTGAAACTGAAGCTACAGGTCATCCTATTGCAAAAAAAAAGAAAAATTTGTGCCGTATGCCCATCAGCAAAACGAAGGATGACGAAAACTAGTTGCTACAAGTGCAATAAATCAATGTGTGGTGAACACAAACTTGATATGTGTCACAAATGTCTTAGTTCATAGTTTTTTACCAAAATTTTTACTTTTTTTGTTGATTCGATGTTTAAATTTTTATTATTTGACTTCTTATTCAAAGTTTTTTTTCTAGTTTTTAAGAGATAAGCACTTAAAAAAAACAAATATCTTTATTTAGAGCGAAACATATGGTCTCAGTACAAAGGCTGATTATGTAATAAATATGTGATTTAATTAAATAAGAATGTTATATTTTTGTTAACAAATGATTGTAATAAACAAATATTGTAAAAGAAATAAGTATTTTATTCAATAAAATTTTATAAACCTACTTTTTTGACAGCGTAGTCGAAACGACGAAGGTTAGTAATAAGAGTTGAAAAATAAGTTTAGTGTTCTAGGGTTAATGTTATAGAGATATAGGTACATATCAAAGTTTTAACTACATACATAATAATATTTTTATTTACTCGGATAGTCTAACAGCATTACTTGCTCTTGGATTATACGAAATTAAATTAAAACTTATAAAATAAACAACTGCATAATTTTATTAAATGACTTGGGCAGCAGAAATAACAATATCTTGAGATAGATCCCTGGTCATTAAAATATTCATGGAATGAAACAGCTGATCGATTATCAAAGGAAGGGGCAAAGAATGCCCAAATAGGACCATAATCTTGTTGCGGCATGCCTGGAAACCTAAATCTCAGATACCTCAAATTCGAAAGATTAAAGGTAGGAAATAATTGCTAGCTCTTGTTGCAAGGATTAAATCACTCGTAAGCCTCGATTAAGGGGTTTTCAGAATTATTCTAAGAAATTAACTCTTATGAGTAAAAAAAAAACATGTGTGTATTAACAAGGGCTCTCACTGGACACTGCAAACTAAACAAGCACATGGGGCAACTAGGCGTATGGCTAAAAAGTGTTTGAAGATTTTATCAAAATGAGATAACAAAAGGAGATATATCTCCTTCGTAAAATACACTTTATATCCTGAGGAGATAAAATACATTGTTACAAAAACCATCTTAAAATTTTTATTACTGAGAATTAGCAGCGACTTTACAAAAAAAAGGCGAGCACAAAAGATTACGGAAAGGTCGTAGGTTTTTCTACGTGAAAAAGTCTGTCTCTCAGTAATTATAATAATAATAGAGAGATAGGACTAATCTACTTATTTCTATCACGAAGTAGCAATGCAGATAGGTGCGCCGTCACGGGAAATGTTTTCGTAGTAAATACACACAATTTATAATTCGTTCGCAACTGGGTTATACAAATAATAATTTCTCTAGCACAAAGGGTTCTACGTTGGCTGATGTAAAAGGGATCCAATGGAATACTTAATTGTATTTACATAACATCAAAACTTAACGGAAGTTTATATAAACGACACAAATATATGAAAACAATATTCTTTTGTTTTGATGCAAATAGAGACTGTTTATTATTTTAAATTTAAAGATAAGTCATGTAAATATTTATTCAAAGATAAAAGTAATAATAAGTATGAATCTATTTACTGATTAGCTTTAACTTTGATGAAAATAAATATTTAATGAATATATTTCGCTCTAGGTAATAGTTTATTTATTTATTTTACTCTTTATTTGCACTAGTTATAACATAGTATAAAAATATATGTTACAGAATTAAAGTACAAAAGGCGGTCTTATCGCTAAAGCAATCTTCCAGACAATCTTTGTTTATACTTATTAAGATTACTAAAGGAATCTGAAATTAGAAACAGGAATTATAAAGGAACTTCCTAATAAATTTGATAATAAACAAGTATTTTATATTTAGACACTTGATAATTTTATTAATTAGAAATTGTTATCGAAATATGGCGGTAGGTGTCGCTTGTTTCTTAATTCAAACACAATCCCTCCCACTTCGAAAGTTTTTCTATCATACATTTATAATTACCGAAATATGATTTTAATATATTAATAATATTTAGAAATTTTAAAGATACCAAATAAATCTCGCTTCAAGGCAGTTATTTTCTAAAGAAATCCTATTTACGAAAGCTGTTAGTATATACATATATGAAATAGGTGACTAATTTAAAGTGACAATTTGTTTCCATTTAGACAAAACAACATTTAATTTAGCGGATTATCCGTGGGCGTACAATCCAGTTTGTTCAGTTTTATAAATATAAAGCTTTGAAATGTCAAACAGACTGCAATAAAGTGATATTTTAATGTAACCAAACTAATAGAAGATAATAAAAACAATACATATTTAGTCGTTTAATAAAAGAGTAGGTAAGGTGTGTGTAGTGTGTGGGAGACACGTCCTGATGGTTCCGTTCCTACTGACAATATCCCCGGGGGTGCACTGGAAACAACAATTCGACACAATTTATTTTTACTACCCATTCGACACGTTTTATTAAGAGAGACAAGATTGAACTCATTTGTTAATTAAATTGAAGTCTGTTGTTGTAAAGTTGCTAAGTAATTTATATTTTTTTTTATTCTTCATTCTTTTCTGCACACAGGGAGAAAATAAAACGTATTATAATTATTACATTATAAATAAGGATGTATAATATAGACAATAATTGTTTTCTGTATTAGATATCGTTACTTAATATCATGAATGTAAAAGTAAGTTTGTTTTTTACCATTTTTTTGATACCTCAGCCGTCTCAACCAATCACTATGAAACTTGGGATACACGTTGTGACAGAGAAGGACATAAGCTGCTTTTTCTACCTCGGTCACTCTAGTAAATCAATTTATTTGCATTCTCAAATATACTCAAATATATGTACACTCAGAGTCAAACGGCTCCTTTGTACCGACGCTTTTATTTTTCTACATCATCAACAGTATAGATTCAAAGCTTTCCTCGTAAACAAACTAGTGCAATAAGAGAAATCTTCAGCCTATGTATGGGGTCAGCCAGTGATACCCGCTGAAGCGAGTTTAGCGCGTTCCTTTTTGTTATTTGTGTAGCTACATTTAATTGCAGAGCAAGTTGCGCCAGGTTTTATCGTTTTATTTACTAGATGGTTACTACTATTAGCACAGTCTAAAGACACCTGACAGATGTGTCAAGAGACACCAATGCGTCCCGAATTGTCATGTACACGTTCGGGACATGTCGAAAGGTATTAGATCGCTTAATATACTTCACTGCTGTTTAAAGTTACTCACTGTTCTTTAACTATTGCCCGACTATTAGTTTTGAACCTTGAGGACTTGGAATAATGTATTATAACAAAATCTGAAATTGTATTTTATTGGTTTCCTTAATTAAATTAGGAATCTTATATAGATTCTCAATATTTGCTTTGACCGAACAAAAATTTACGCCGAGTTAAATATAAAGAGTAATTTTGTCCTTATTTTATCACGTTCCCAAAACTAACACTTAACCGGGAACTAATAAATCTGTACATAAACAAAGATAGGAATATAGAAATCTAGTAGTAAAAATAGCTTTAATTTTAATATTGACATAGTGTTATAAACATATAAATGTCTATATAATGTATATATTTATTCAGGCTACATTTTAATAATGTCTCATGAGGTCAACATCCTTATAGATTTGAACTTCAAAATGTCAGTTCATTCATCTACAGACAACAAAATACACTGCTACTATTTCTATGCGGCTATTATGTACAGACAGACAGGATTCAAATTTCTATTCAGATTATGTTTACTCAAATTTTATGCTTAATGCACACGATCTGAAATCTATAGATCTTACCACAAAAATAAATTAAAACACTGATAGACTTAATTTTATGTACCAAAATTTGTAAATTAATAAAATAGTATCTATTAACTTTATTTAATTTTATATATTTAAGACAGACTTTCTTTTATTGCTAAGTCAGGCTCGGAATGGCTTCACAGTCGAACATAACTAAGGATCATAAATTGATCCCGAAACTAGTCGAGCTTTCTCGATGTAATTACACGTAAATTAAACAGGTAGTTATTAGATTAAAAAACATTATTTTATTTAAACATAAGTAGATGTGTCTAACATGTTAATAATGGAGACTAAGGGCCTCATTGCTAGTAATATACCCAACCAGATCGACCTCCACCTAGTTCCTCTGGAAACCATCGTGCTGAATTCCAAATGTATTCATCACGATGGGCTAACTGACCTGTCATTTCATTCTCACCTATTATCCCTCACTGGTACCATTCCATCATCATCCATTAAAAAAAAAGTCTACTTAAGTATGTCTCCGTTGTGGTAAATCATTTAAACACGTATTTAACACCTGTCAATCGCAAGTCTATCATTTTTGTGGTAAAATCAATATTTTTACGATTTGGAATCAAGTCAAAGAATCGATGTTTTTATATACCACTGAACTTCTTTGAAATAAGAATCCGAAGCGAACGTAGTCTGCCTATAAAAATATGTCTCGGAAAATTAAAACGACTTTAGTTACATTTGAATTGTCTACAATTCAATTGAGCTCTTTTATACGCTTATTTTGATCATAAAAGGTTTTTTTTTTATATATATAATACTACTCGACCCGACAAATGTTCTGTCAAAAGCTATTAGAAGAAGTTTGGTTAGAAAATGGGAAAAAGAAAAAGAATTTTCCAAATCGGTTTTTAAATGACGAGGTGCTGAGGCAACAAATATAAATAAAACTGGTCAGGTAATTATTAAATTCACACGCTTTAAGGGTTCCGTATATAATTTTAGAAATATAAGATAAATGAAATTACATTTCTTATAGGAAATAAACTTCTAATAGTTATTATTGTTAATAATACAATTCGTATTTTCTTATTTTTGGCCATAATTATGGTTAAAAACTGGACCAATAGTTATTCACTAAATTTGTTTATAAACATTTTATTGTTAAAAGCTGTACTAGTTAAAACTTTTATTTTTCTTGTAAAATTCACACATACGTACTTTTATAAACCGCAATTAGGTATATCAGATTTATTGCATGATAAACTGAAAAACTACGTAACTTAAAAATAAATAAAAACCAGTCTTAAAATTTACAAATAAAGTCCTTACATATAATACCCCATTTGGACAAGTAGATCAATTTTGAAATTTTTAAGTACCTCTTTTAGACCTCCTAGCAAGAATAAAATAAAAATATTTTTTATTAATTATTTTTCTTGTAATATATGTGAGATAACATAATGTAAAACTATTCCAAATTACAAATCATTAGCATTAATAGCTGCTGAGATATAGTGGTGTAACAAACTGACGAATAGACAAACTTGCACCGTAAGGGTTTCTTTGTACCATTTTATCACTGTATCCTAAAAAAGATATAACGTAATTTAACTTTTTTTAAGTCAATTGAAAAATGAGTTATAAACGGATAATTTTAATTTTTTACTCATAAGACT